CACACACACACACACACACACCTGACATGTCTTCCAAGCCTCCAGGGCCAGGATTCCAACTGTGTTCAGTTGTGATAGGTCTCTGTCTTGATCACCAGGCTGTGGAACCAGCCCCCACTAATTTACCCTCTTAGTTTCTGGGTATGCAAATTATAATCTAACAAAGCAATCAGAATTTTTAAGTGTGAGAGCATATCATGGGTAAGAGGTGGAGTATAGCATCTGTGAGGTCATATTTTCATTCTGTTAAAAAGGATTTTGCCAGCTGAAGTTACATTACACAGAAGTAAATACAGACAAGTGTCACACTTTCTCATATGTGGTCAGTGGCTAAAGGACTAAAGGTTGCCATCATTTCCGATCACTCGTCATAGTCTTCGCCACATGACGTTTGGTTTCCTACCTTTTTTTTTCCTTTTTTAAAGTAACTGCCTATTTAAGTCTTATAAGGTAATCACAAGTTTATTGCTCTTAAAAACTTAGGAACTAAAATATCTTATGACAGAATAAAACAAAACACAGAGTAATACACAGAATGATACTCTTGTGTGTTTGAAAAATATATTTTGGTTCCTAAATTTCTAAAGCATGAGAGTTATTACATTCAAATTACATATACATATTTTTAGTTAACAGTAATTTATTTATTTATTTTGCCATAGGGTGCATACCTACAGCATGTGCTCACAGGAGAGAAGGGAAAAGTGAGAAATCAGTCCCTAGGAAGGTGGCCATGCTTCAATCACTTCTCCATTTTTTTCCTCAGGATTTTAGGTATGCACGCACATGTGCCTGGCATGATTTTCAAGCCAGCAGGTCCAGGTTTCAAATCCCACAGTCAGCCACGTGGGATCCAGCCTCCTAACCCTCCACGCCCCCTGCTGGCCCGAGTGGTAATTAATTTTTATTCATCATGGTTGGCTTGGAGTGGGAGGGAGTGGCAGAGGGGAGGAAATTTTGTTCTTCCTAATCTCCCTTCTGTGGTGTCAGAAACTTATCCTTTTTGTTTGCAATCTTCTGTAATTTAATTACTTTTTTAAATTACCAAAAGTCTAAAAACCACCCTGAGACCCTCCACTACTACTGTGTTCAATCAGACAGTCTGTCCAGTAGAGGGCGCGCTAGCTTTGCACAGAAAATGTGGTCAGTCTATTGACACTCTCCACCTGTGGTTTTGAGGATGCAACTTGCACAACCCACTTCATCGTTTCTTCCTCCACACAGAATGGAAACTGTGTGTCATCCCAATCCGAGCAATTCCCTCACCTAAAAGGAGGTTGCAACAAAAACACCAAAGGGAAGTCATCAAACCTTGAGCTTTCGTTTTAAATATATGTCTGCCACTCTTTAAAAGGACATTGCATAGAATTATTTATTTTTTTTTTTTTCCAGGGTCTCCCTTCACTATCCTGCTTCTGCCTCCCAGCTGGGATGACAGGCTCCACCAGGTTTTTTTTAGACAGCGTCTGCCTAAATTGACGGGTCCAGCCTTAAGCTCATGGTTCTCCTGCCTCAGTCTCCCAAAGCGCTGGGATTACAGGTGCATGTGTGATATCACACCCACCCTTCAGGCTGACCAGGAGTTGAACCTGGGCGTCCCGTGTGGTCTTAGACTGTGGAGCAGTGTCTGCGCGGTATCTGAGCAGCACAGCCCACCGCAGCCGGGCCCAACAGGGCATTCTGAGGGAAAGATTTCTTAATCTGTAATAAGTATTGCCTTAACTCTTAAAATTACCCACAAATAAAAATATCACATATTGATTTGCATTCAGAGTTATCAACCAAGCTCATAATTTCCAAGAAAAAATAATTTTCTGCCACTTAACATCAGTTATCAGTCTGAAAGCGTTTATGAAAAAAAGCAAACAGCTGCATTAAACTCACGAGCAAGATTTCTTAATCTGTAATAAGTATTGCCTTAACTCTTAAAATTACCCACAAATAAAAATATCACATATTGATTTGCATTCAGAGTTATCAACCAAGCTCATAATTTCCAAGAAAAAATAATTTTCTGCCACTTAACATCAGTTATCAGTCTGAAAGCGTTTATGAAAAAAAGCAAACAGCTGCATTAAACACACGAGCATCAGGCCAGCAGGTAGCGTGGTGGTTAAGGGCGCTGGACTCCCATGTGGCTGACTGTGGTTCAAGCCCTGGACCCGGCATCTTTCTTTCTCACTTCTCACTTTCTCTCCCTCTCACTCTGTCCCTCTCTGGTCAAATTTAAATAAGTAAATAAATAAACCACAAGAGCATCTAGGACAATCTTGTTTAAACCAGTTGCTTACATGGATATATACATACTTACTTTTTGATATATTAGGATGATTAAACTTGTCTGGTTTGGAGATCCCTATTACTGTCTGTTAATTGGTTTGTTTCCTCATTCATTATTCCAGAGAGCATTTATTAAATATCTATCATGAACGTATCATTCAAATCTGTGACACTATCTTAATAGTCAATTGTATTTATACATTTATAACCTAATTAACTATGAGTTAATCATTTTGTGATTTTTCCATCTTGAATAGCTATGCTTTGGAGATTTCCTTTTCTACATATATATAAATTAATAATAAACTTTTGTAGAGTACGTTAGAATTTAGAGAAGGTTTTTCATATGGGCATAAAATAATATCCAATGAAGATGAAAGACCCCTGACAGTTAACACAGGAGAAGCTGAGGCTCCGGAAGTATGAAGTGACTCTCCCAACAGTTACTAGCCTGGACTCCTTAGGCCCCCCGGACCGCAGCATCCTGCTTGTGCCCCCACTGCCTTTGTCTGAACTCCTTGCACAGGAGTGAGCTTTGCTGTCTCTGCCTGCATTCTAACATTTGAGGTTCTAAGTGAAAAATAACTGGGGTTTGGACTGGCAAAAAAATAAAGCAAGCTTCAGTATTAAACATATTTGATAAATAAGGATTGACTCATCAGATAGCGAAAATACATGCATGAATATTATGTAATGCTCTTTTGGAGATGAAGAGTAAATGTTTAAGAAAAATTATTTGCAGTTCTCCAGCATGCTTTAAAGTATTCACTGTTTGAATCTAAATGACTCCTTTCCACAATAAGGCATCTGAAGGTTCTCTCCATAATAACTGCAGGCTTTAGCCTCAGCCCCTGGCAGCTCATAAGAGTGTGCTGTTTTTTTAGCAGAGCAACAGCACATGGTGGGGGGGGGCATAGCTGCACAGCAGGCGGACCTGCAGCTCAGTCAATAGGAACTGTTAATCGTACTGTCTGCTCCAGTCTCGCAGGGAAACCCCCTGCGTCATCCCTGTGTAGCTGTGGACATGCTCTCCCAAATCAAATCACGTAGTCGAGGTCATCAGTCCTTACCGATCATTTTCAGAGCCTGCAGTAGGCATGATCCTGGAAGAACGCACAAAGGACTCTTATTCAAGAACGTGGTTCATTTCTCTTTCCCCAACTTTATGCCAGCTGTTAAGCGTTCTCGTAAATTCTAAGTCAACCAGGAATGACTCATGAGGAAATCCTGACCGCTGGCCTCTCACACGCGCGCACGCAGCTGTGTGGTTTCCCTGCTTGCCCCTCTCCCGCTGGGACCTGGGATTTCTGTTCCAGCAGGACACAGGGCCAAGCACTTCTGCTGAACGACCTGCAGCCCGGCAGATGCAGCCACGTTTCCAGCCCTGATTGTAAGTAATGAGCCTGGCCCCCTGCGGCTGAGCACACGACTGAGCTGAGTGGGAAGTCATTTCCACCGCAAGCCCCGCCTCCCCCTCCACCCTGGAGCGCAGGGGTGCCCATGATCCCCCCTGGCTGAGGCCAGGGGAGGTGTGAAGACCCTGCTTGGTGTCCTCTCCTCTTTTCCTTTCTCCCTCCCGCTCAAGAAATACAATTTGTATTTTATATTTATAATAAAATTTATTTTGAGTCAGGTTCACCCAGTCACGACTATGGAATAAATCACTATTCTGCAGCATTCTGCTAAAAAAAAATTTTTATAGCTAACCTGAGCAAAGCACTGTCTTCTGATAAATCCGTTCATTCCGAAGGCTCATTCCTAGCTGTTCCCACTCTCAAACGCGAGAAAGTCCCACCGCAGGTCCCTGTTCACTGGTCTCCTTCTGCACACGGGGCAAAGTCACAAAAAGAAGAGTGTCCCCCCACTACCACTACCTCCCCCACTCCCGCGGCCTCAGTCTACAGAACAGTTGGTCTCAGGGGAGTCGGAACAAAACTGTAAATAGAAATGCCAGGGACCAGCAGATGTCGTAACGGTTACATCGCTGGACTCCCAGATACACGGTTCGAGTCCTGGACTGGCGGCTTGTGTGTACCCAAGATGCCGAGAGGACAAAGGCAGAGAAAGGATTGCGGTGTGGCCATCGTCCCTGGGGGGTGATTTCTCGCTTTCTATCTCTCTCTGTTTCTGTCTGTCTTTCCAGCGACCATAAGCGCCCTGGAACAAAAACCCCCCTAAAAAAAAAAAAAAAAAAAAAAACCGAAATGCGGCGCGGGGATAGCACACGTGCTCAACAAAAAGGGAGAGGGGAAGGGAAGTCCACTTAATTCAAAATAATTCCAGAGCCCCTAAAGGTGAGTGGGGTGAGAGCCAACTACCTGGCCGAGCCTGCGGCCAGCTGGGCTCCCTCCCTCCGCGGCGGCGCAGCCTTCCCCCCGCTGCCTGACCCTCGCACGGGCATCAGTCGCCAGCGATTGCTTGCAATGGCCAGTGCCCCACACCGGCCCCTGCTGGCCACAGCTCTCGGCCGATTGTACAGGGACCCGGAGCGCAGCTCTCGGCCGGTTGCGCAGGGACCCGGAGCGCAGACGCCCGCCGCGCCCTGGCTAGGCGACCTCTGCGCAGCTGCCAGATTGCCGCAGGCCGGCACTGGACCCGCCCCGTGCCATTACAGCCGCCAATCCGCGCTCTCCGGAGGCGGATCCGGCGCCCTGCGGCCACGCCCCCTTCCTGCGATTTCTTATAAGTGCTGCGGGCAAGCGTCCTTCCCAAACCGCGATCCCTGCGGAAGGGCGAGGATGCAAAGTACCATGTTCTTGGCTGTCCAGCACGACTGCAGACCTATGGACAAGAGCGCAGGCAGCGGTGCCAAGAGCGAGGAGAAGCGAGAGAAGATGAAACGGACCCTGTGAGTACCACTTGTTCATTCTCTCCTCTCCCGCGGCCACCCCGCCAGCCCTGAAGGACTACCTGGTTTAGCTGCAAGCGCGGTCCTTTCGGGCTTGGCTTTGACGTTAGGAAACTATCAATACGTAGCCTCCTTTGCAGAAAAAGACATGTGGAAAGGTTCATTTGCCTCGTAAGGTTACCTCTGTGTGGCGTGTGCTTGTTTTCTATGAGCGAAGGACGTTGGGGTAGTTTAGGAACCGAGGAAAATTCAGAATACGAGCCAGGTGGCAGCTGCGCTAAGAGATCGCCTTTTGTCCTCCCGCATTTAATGACACCAGAATCCTGCGGCTGAAACAGGCCCCGGCTGTCCTATGGCCTTGCGAGCTCTGCTCGCTTGCAACGCTGCTAGGTGGAGATGTTTTCGCGGATTCTGAAGAGCCCGTTTTAAATTCGTTTTGGGGTTTTTATTATCGAACAGCTTCACCCGGTCATGACTGTGATAAATCACAGATCTGCAGCGTCCACTTAAAAGAAGTGTTCTAAGGATGGAAGGGAACTGGCTCAAGGCAGATCTACCTTGTGGCTTTCAAGTGGGAACTCTTAGAGCTGTCTTGGAATTGCAGTTAACCTTGCAGGGAAGCTGCTGCCTTTTGTGGGCCAGGAATAGCATCTGCCTTGAACTATACACATTTAAATTCATTAAAATATCCTAGCGATTTTAAGGAGTCCTGCGGATGAAACTGTGTTAGTTACTGCATTAGGGGCTGAGTCCATAAGGCTGTCACTTGAGAAGTTCTTGCTTGGTCTTATTTGGTTTTTCTGTAGCTACTTGGGTAACTGATACAAATGTGTTCAACTGCAGTAGTACATTCAGTCAATGCCACTGAGTGCATAACCTATGTTTTATTTTTTTTTTTTTTTAGTTTAAAAGATTGGAAGAACCGTTTGAGCTACCTCTTGCAAAATTCCTCCACCCCTGGGAAGCCCAAAACTGGCAAGAAAAGCAAACAACAAACTTTTATTAAGTAAGTTTGAGAATCCTTTACTTGCAAATATTCATAGCTAGCTCCTGAACTGAAGAGGCCAACTCTGGTGTGCCCAGGCTGATGTGCTGAACTTCTCTTGCAGGCCTTCTCCGGAGGAGGCCCAGCTGTGGTCGGAAGCATTTGATGAGCTGCTAGCCAGCAAATGTAAGTTCACCTAGAACTAGACCCATTGCTGGTGTCAGGGGGGTTGGGAAAGGTCGTGCCCACAGAGCAGAAGAGCAGCTTGCTCGAGAGGCAAGACAGGAACGACAGGGACGTCACTACAGCAGCACGAGGACCTGCTCTGTCCTTGTCCTTCCTTCCCATTCACTCCAAGTTACAGGGCCCTTGCTGGTTAGGGCTGAGTCAGCTTTTCCATGGCTGACAAGAGGTTTGCTGCCCAGAGAATGTATGAGTCCCCTATAAATATTTATTTTGCATTGACGGCAGAGCGAAGTATTTGTGTTTTGTAGCAGAGCGCCAGTTTAAACAGTTGCCTTCTGGCATGTCAGTCTGCAAAGAGCTATCTATGTTCCGAGCATTGCAGAGGAGGACGAAATCAAGAAGACGGCTATGATCTAGGGCCTCGCAGCACCGCGGGGACTCAGGGGCTGCTCACTCTCCGTCCTCACGTTCTGTGTGCTCTCTTCTCCCCGCAGACGGCCTGGCTGCATTCCGGGCTTTCTTAAAATCTGAATTCTGTGAGGAAAACATTGAATTCTGGCTGGCCTGCGAAGACTTCAAAAAAACCAAATCACCTCAAAAGCTGTCCTCAAAAGCGAGGAAGATATACACTGACTTCATAGAAAAGGAAGCTCCGAAAGAGGTAAGGAAAAGTTCTTCATTTGTGTTTAATTTGGACCTCTTCAGCACCATAGTGAAACAAAGGCATTGCAAGAGATGGCAGGTGACAGCGGGGTGGGGCAGTGTGGAAGGCTCGGCCCCCTTCCTAGCTTTTCTCTCAGTGACGTGGCAATCACATCTTATGGTTTTTGTTTCTTTTTTTTTTTCCAATATTACATTTCAGTCTCTAACTCCAGATACTGAACAAGCTACCTTTTTAATTTTATTTCAGATAAACATAGACTTCCAAACCAAAACTCTGATCGCCCAAAACATTCAGGAGGCGACCAGCGGCTGCTTCACGACTGCGCAGAGGAGGGTGTACAGCCTGATGGAGAACAACTCCTACCCCCGCTTCCTGGAGTCCGAGTTCTACCAGGACTTGTGTAAAAAGCCCCAGATCAGCACGGAGCCCCACGCTACATGAAGCGAGGGAGGGAACCCACAAAGGACACTTCATTCTCTTCCCTTCGGGGAAAGGCCTTGACCTGGGAGTCCGCCCTTGAATTCAGCCGGGGAGTTGAGGAAACCCGAGGAAACCCGTTGAGAACTGTTGACTCCAAGTTGGGTAGTAAATGAGGAAGTGGTAACCATGGAGACAGCGTGCATCAGAATTTCTTCTGACTCAGTGTGGACAGGGAAGGTCTGAGTGGGGCGTGTCTCACTCCGGAAGAGCAGGAACGTGTGAAAAAGATGTGCTGTCACACCCGAGGTCCTAAAGCATTTCAGATGGACGGGTCTGGGACTCGGTGGCCTTGGCCAGCTGGCTGGATCCTCCCCCAGTTCAGTCCACCTTCCCCCAAATCAGTCCCTGTTCCCACACGGTGGTTTTCATTTCCTTTTTTTTGTATTAAGTAACACAATGTTTACTGTGTGTGAAGGTGTTGTCCTTGTGACTACAGAGCACCAGCTCTGCTGTCACACGGGACACCGAAACTGACAGGGTCTGGTGGACGTTAAGTGCTGAGTGAAGTGGAGTGAGTGCCGTTGTAGGAAACAGTGCCCGCTACGAGTGCCAAAAACTGTCCTGAAGGCAGCTAGACTTCGAAGTGGTCTTTGAATACTTTTAATAAATTTATTTTGATAAATAATTTCAGTGAACACTGGAGTCCAGATGTGACTGTTTTATTTCCAGCAAAGAGGCGCCCCGGTTATTGTGATGAGTGAGGACTCCGGAGCGAGGATGGACGGCCCTCGGAACCGAGGTGCTAGCCGTAGGGGAGAGAGTCCGTGTCTTTTATAAACTTACAAGTATTAGGTAGTTCTTTTTTTTTTTTTCTAAGTGTATTTACTTCTTCCATGAAAGAGAGAGAGAAGGGGACAGAAAGATCGTCACCCCCAACAGACTTCACGCCATAATCCACCCCAGCCCAGATGACTGACAGGCGCTGGTCCGTGTGCTCTGGGAAGTGCTGTCCCCAGACCTGTCCCATGTGGGCCCAGTGGTGTGACCACCGCTCT